TAGCTTATTGTTCCTAATAGCAAACATTGTTACTACTAGTAAGGCACTTGCTCCTAGTAGCGTGGCACTTGTTTCTACTTGCTTCTAAGCAAAGTTGCACACAGGATCTTGATGTTTCTTCAACCTAAGAGCGGCCTCCAACCTAGTAGCGATCACCAAACATGGCATTTGGCAACTCCATAAGGATGAGTACCAATGGGCACCTAAAGCTTTGTATGACAACCTGGCCGGCTGTTTCCAACCCTCGCCGCTCAGATGAACTCCAACAGTGACAAAGAAGCAATCGATGGCTGTGCTTATTGAGCACACAAGACACATGATAAACATGTCAGATTCAAGAAGCTACTAGGGGCTCCTGGCCTTACTACTAGGAGCAAATACGCTACCAGGGGCTCCTGGCATCGCTACTAGGAGCAAGGACGCTACGTCAGATTCACGGAGTGTGGCAGTTTGTGTGCGCAGCTGCGGGGCCGAGAGGAGTGCTCGGCTTGGTGACTGCCTAATCCTAATTTTTTGCTGGTTTGTTTCCAAGTCCTTCAGGTCCTTGGGCAAACCGATTCAAAAATCTTTACAATGTGGTGCGAACTCTTTGCCAGCCGTTTGCTAGGCAAGGGCCCCCCCACCCCACGCACCAGAGGGTGGCTGACCATTGTGCGCTGGCAAGGATTTGAGAGAAATCTCCACGTGCAAAAGACGTCTATATAAGACGGGCAAGAAACCATCGTGGTCGATGACTTCTATGCACTTAAAGAATTCAGGTATCGAACCTTGGCCGAGTCGGTGTGCACCGAACCTCTTTTGCTTTCTTTCACTTCCTTTTCACCTCCGGCTGTTTTGCAACATGTTCAGCAGAAATATAACATCTCTACACAGCTGCAACCCGCATGGTGTATGAAAATAGGTAGGCCTCAATTGGACATCCCTTTCAAAGGACAGAATAGGCCACCTAAGGCCGCTATTAATGTTCTCCCAAAACGACTCCCAGTTCTTCCTGGCCTCCACACCCCATCCTATTTGTTACTAGTAGCTATTTGCTCCTAGTAGTAAGGCCAGGAGCCCCTAGTAGCGTCCTTGCTCCTAGTAGCGATGCCCTTTGTTACTGCAAGCCTCGAGTCCCCCCATCCTCCAAGCGTCCAGGGATGCTTGAGCAGCTCCGCGGAGCTGGGGCGCTTCTTAGGCACCCGTTGCAGACCTGGAGCAAGCGAAACTGAGGTTTTTGATACGAAGAACGAGGAGAAACGACGCTACTAGGGGCTCCTGGCCTTTCTACTAGGAACAAGAACGCTACTAGAAACAAAGGGCATCGCTACTAGGAGCAAGGACGCGACTAGGACGAAGAACGAGGTGTGCCGTACTTGGGATGAGATCCGCCGGACAGCCGGACCAGTAACTGATTGTTTCCTGCACTTGTGTGGCGTGAAAGTCATAGGAATGCATTGGAATGCATGCACAGCCCGATATATCTCGATCAAAACAAAGCTCAATTGTAAGTCATATGAATGCAACTCATCTCTTCAACTAACTTGTGGATCTCTGGACTGTTGCTGAGTTAAGCTTGTCACATGCTCGGAGGAAAGCATCAGACACCTGCACCAAACACTGCTGTCCCAGTTCTTTGCGTCCCAATGCTGTCAGGCGTCCAAGTGAAAAGGTGCTTTTTGTTTTACATTCCAAGCTGATGATTTTTCTTAAAATTCTTCAGGGGGGAGGTAGGCCGCTGAAGGCCATCGCTACTAGGTTGGAGGCCAAACGCAAACCCAATGGCCTCATCCATTTCTGGGATAGGAGGAATGGCATCCGTCATCGAGATATGCTTCAAGGCATACATCACCTTGCACATGACATTCCGATCTGTCTGATCGGGCTGACGTCACAGCGCCGGACAACGAGCATGTCGTTTTTGGTGCAAGACTAGTGCATGCCTCCCTACTTAATTAAGTAAGGCGACGAGTTCGTTTCTAGTATCTGGACGGAAGATATCAGGCTTCTTCAAGGAAGCTCCCCGCGCCTGAGGGCGGGGGGGAGCTTCCTTGAAGTAGCACTCGCACTAATCATTTGGTTCCTAGATTTTGGAGTATGTTGGATTTGTCATTTCATGCTAAGCACCAGAAACTAGCTGCCAAGCTGTTGCTTTTCTCCGACCATACCAGGGCACGTTCTCGAAGGCATCCTTTCCCCAAGGTTTCTCCTGAAGTCACCAAGAGTGGCATGGTTGGGTGTCCCAACTCGACTGAAATGCACCAAGAGTGGCATATGTTGTTCCTTTTTTCGCTCTTCTTGATTGGCTTCTTCGGAATGTGTTCTTGTTGCAACTATTAGTTGGGCCACTATGGAAAAACATTTGAACACATACTCGAAAAGAAACACACCAAAGCGATGACACAACTAATTGACAAGAGCACTATGATAGCTCAAACCAATTTGTTCAATCAATCTGCCTTCGAAATCCCCTTTTGACTATTGAGTATCTGTTTATTCTCTTACAATATTCATTAATTGAAAACACTAAACAACCAACAAAAACCCAACTGAACCGCTTTGAACCGTCACTGCCCTTCCCTTTCCCCCCCAAGAACCGTTTTCAAATCTCCGCCGTGGCCATCTCCAAGACCGCACAGCCAAAGCTCCACACATCGGCCTAGCGAGGAGATCAGCTCCGTGAGAACGCTACTAGGAGCAAAGGGGCATCGCTACTAGGAGCAAGGACGCTACTAGGGGCTCCTGGCATTACTACTAGGAGCAAGAAGTTATTAGAAACAATGAAGAAATATGAATAGAAATAAATAGAACAAAGAAAAAAACAACCAATAGCACACTATATTACAGCGATGGTCTCCAACCTAGAAGCGATGGCCTTCAACCTAATAGCGATGGTCTCCAACCTAGAAGCCATGGCCTTCAACCTGATAGGGATGGTCTCCAACCTAGAAGCCATGGCCTCCAGCTTAGAAGCGATGGCCTTCAACCTAAAAGCGATGGACACGGCTATAGCAGAGACCTTGGGTCCACCTTGGTTGACCCCCGAAAATGAAGAGAACAAACCACTATACCAGGAGTTCGGGCTGTGGGTTTCCACAGCCACATGGTGCCTGGACCATCCAATGGTACCATAGGAGGAGAAAAAACTAATACAAACATTAACATTGCAAACATAGTGCATAAGTAGAAACATACCTAGGATATCGCAGGACTAGGACCATCTTTTTTGGGTGTCCTGGCTGGAGATCTGGAGATGCTGTAGGGTCCAGCCAGGACACCCAGACAGGATGGTCCTGGTAGAAAAACACTGGTTTGGGCGGAAGGTTGGACTGGCAGGTAAAGGGTTTACCGAAAGGTTCGAACAGATTAAAGGATGGATTACATTCCTGGACTGTGTAGGAGCTTTCTATTGCTAGTAGCTTACTTCTCCCTTACTTAATTAAGTAGGCACCTACTTAATTAAGGACGGGCTTTCAAGAAAACATAACATATCCCTGTTTTGCACTGTTTGTCAAGAGCTTGCGATGCTCCCACCGTCACCAGCAGATCGCGGGGGCCGTGCAAATCTCTCCCCGAGGGTTCGGATGAACCGTTGATGAAAAGATATGAAAACGTTGATGAAACGCTGATGTCTTCCGTTTCGTTTCTTCTTTTTGGTGTAGATGGACAAATCTAATCAATGATTGCATTGCCTACTGATCAAATGCATGTCGCGACAAAGAACACATGCATGCCATGCCTTCCGCCCATATCCATCACGTTGCAAAATGACCTGCGCTCTGCTTCTGCACAATTCTGCACCCAAACCGGGAATTCATCCAGCCAAAGGCAGTCTTCGATTGTCCAAAAAGCACGAGTCTTACAGAATCATGTGCTGAACAGCTCGGAGGGTTTTGGGTGCTGTCTAGCCTTCCGTCATTTCACATAGGAACAAGGACCCTGCTAGGGGGAGGCCATCGCTACTAGGAACGATAGGAACAATCACAAACAACGTACAACCAGAGCATGTCCCATGCCGGTTCTGCCTCCGGTGCCATCCATGGAATTGACCCTATCGTTGTGAAAGATTT